GAAATCATAGGAAAACCATCGGAATCTCAATAATTCTGTCAAATCCAGCGATTTAACGTCATCGCGCGGTGCACTCGCGATGCTCTGTCATGCACCCAGGCCGCGAATCCTGTGCAAAAAATACCACAAAGAGCACACTCGCGCGTTCATGTCAGAATCCTACCGAACACCGTGTGTTTGCAAGCATTTCAACATAAAAAACATCAAAAACCCAATGCTTTTTCACAAAAATGCTTTGGGGTGTCCTGTCAGACCGTCGGGCTTCCTCCGGCCACCTCTGGCTTCCTGCGGTGTACCGGGCCATTCTCGACTCGTCTGGCAATGCGTGCGCGGCATTCAACACGCGCTCGCCAGTTCCCGTCGGCAACCGCCATCGCGGCCGCATCAGCTGTACCAAACCGGCTGGCCGGTGTGACTTCGGCCCCCAGTTGTGCCAGCTTTGCTTCTTATGTTGTGGGAGGGCGGGTGGGACTGGGCATGCCATGCTTGACTCGCTCGAGCTGGCTAGCTTGACTCTTACTCTTACTCTTACTCTTACTCTTACTACTACTACTACTACTACTACTACTACTACTACTACTACTACTACTACTACTACTACTACTACTACTACTACTACTACTACTACTACTACTACTACTACTACTACTACTACTACTACTACTACTACTACTACTACTACGACTACGACTACGACTACGACTACGACTACTACTACTACTAGTTACTACTACTACTACTACTACTACTACTACTACTCATGCTGCTGCTGCTGCTACTACTACTACTACTACTACTACTACTACTACTATACTACTACTATACTACTACTACTACTACTACTACTACTACTACTACTACTACTACTACTACTGCTATAACTACTATTACTACTACTACTACTACGAACTACTACTACTACTACTACGACTACTACCACTACTACTACTACTACTACTACTACTACTACGAAAATCTCTACTACGACTACGACGACTACTACTACTACACTGCAACTAACTACTACGCTACTACTACTAGCGTGACTACTCACTACTACTAATACTACTACGACTGCTACTACTACTACTACTACTACACTGCTAACTGCTACTATAAACTACTACCTACTACTCTACTACTACTTGTACGAACCATACTAACTATCACTACTACTACTACTACCTACTACTACTACACTACTAACTAACTCAATCTCTACTACTGCTACTACTCTACTACTACTACTACTACTACTACTACGACTACGACTACGACTACGACTACGACTACGACTACGACTACGACTACGACTACGACTACTACTACTACTACTACTACTACTACTACCACGATTACTACTACCACGACTACGACTACGACTACGACTACGACTACTACTACTACTACTACTACTACTACTACTACTGCTACTACTACACCAGTACTACTAGCTCACGATTGGCGATGACGAGCGCGAAGAGCACGGCGGCGACGACGACGACGACAATCCACGCCTGGTGGAACAGCTCCACCAGGGCGCACAAAGCCAGCGTGCCTGCCGGGCACCAGCGCGGCGAGGAGCGCATCGTCAGATCCACCAGGCCAGCCCCCCTCGCAGTTCCCCCTGGAGACCGCATGGTTGCGCGCCCGACCGTTGCCCATCGGCCTCTGGCGGCCCTGAGCGATGATCGATAGCCTCTGGCGGCCCTCGGCAACAATCGGCGGCCTTTGGCGGTCCTCGGCGGCCTTCCGCGCGACAGCGGGCCGTGATCGACCACCTGACCAGGTCGGGTCGGACGAAACGGGGGAATGATAAAGGGGGGCGGGCGTATTCTTCCCAGCGCCTGCCGGCGCAAGAAGCGTCAACGTACGAAAGAGCGCGTTCTATAGATGCTGAAAGGGGGGGGGGTCGAACCAGGAAGGACCCCCCCCCTCTCAAGGAGGGGGAGGGGGGTTTCCGAACCGTGCCCCCCGCCCCCCTGAATTGCAGGGGGGGGGAGTTCGAACAGGGGGGGGGAGGGCCCTCTCTCAGGGGAGGGGCTCGAACAGAGGGGGGGGGGCCCTGAATTACGGAAGGAAGCGTTCGCACAGGGGGGTGGGGCCCTGCAACCGACGACGGCGAGCGGCGCTGGCACCGGCGCTGCCGAGGTCGGGCAGCGAAGATGACGACGACGACGACGACGATGACGCCGATGACGACGAGAGGAGACAGAACGGGCCAACAGAAGGAGACAGAACGGGACGACAGGAGGAGACAGAACGGGCCAACAGACGGAGGGACGGGGGGGCGGGGAGGGAAAGCCAAGGAAGTGGAGAAAGGGGAAGCACACCGCGCACAAGGGCAAGGAGGAGAAAAACAAACAAAAAAAAAAACAAGGGCGAGGGAACACGAGGGCGAAGGGGGTGAGGCACCGAGAGGGCAGAGGAGGAGGGGAGGAGGAGCCGAGGGCCGAAAACAAGGCAAAAAGAGACGCGGGCCAAGAGGAGCAACCGTGCG